AAAAAAAAAAAAAAAAAAAAAAAAAAATTAGGGTTGGCCAGGTGTGGTAGCACATACCTTGTAATCCTAGCACTCACAGGGATGAGCAGGAGGATTGCCTAGAGGTTGAGGCCAACCTGGGCTACGTAGTGAAGTCCAAGGCCAGCTTGAACTACATAGCAAGACCGTGTCTCAAACAAAAAGTTAAGGGCCAGGGATTTAGCTCAGTGGTTCCTCTGCTTGCCTCACAAGTACAAGGTCCTGAGTTTGATCTTCTGTACCAAAAAAAAATTAAATTAAATTAAATCTAAATAAATAAATAAATAAATAAATAGTTAAAATTTAAAAATAAAAGTGGTTAAAGAGATCATCGGCAAATCTTGGTTATCTATGTGAGTAACATTAAGAATTGTAATTTTTATGTAGTTATGAAGATAATTACTGTATTAATTATATGTCATTTTGTGTTTTCAACAAGGATTAGGAAGTTCAGCCATGAATGCTCAGAATATACAAATGCTTTTGGAAAAACTCAGAGGAATTCCCCAGTTAGAAGGCCAGAAGGACATGATAACATGGATACTCCAGGTAAATTAGAAAAATAAACTGAAAACAAGCGTGTCACTTAACAACAAGCATACATTCTTTCAAATGCATTGTTAACTGATTTGGTCCATATGTGGACATCATAAAGTGTGCTCACACAAACCTACATGGTATACGCAGCCGCTTAGTCACTTATACAGCGTGGCCTCCCACATAGCCAATCAATTCGATGACACGAGGTATGAGAGTGCTACCTGCATAACATGACATACATTTACAGTAAACTCTTCCAATAAATAGAGTATTCTAAAGCAGCAATAAAAATTACAGTATAGGGGTCGGCAGGATGATAGAGCCCATGCTTAGTGTGCCTGAGGCCCTGGATTCAATACCCATCACCACAAATAAATAAATTTTTTAAAAAATATAGTATAATAAATTATAGTATAATAAGCTACTAGCAATCATTTATTGTAATTATCCAGTTTTATACACAGTAATTGTGTGATTATCAGTAGACAGGAGGAATTTTTCAGACTCATAATTTTATAGAATTATATGTTACTTGACATTGACTAAAATGTCATTATATTATATCTGGTTGTAAGAAAGACTGCTTGCTTCTAAAATTAAACCATGATACTCACTATATTCTTCATTATGATAATTTGCCACTGATTTTCATGTTCACTTAAAATTTTTCATAGTAATAATTTTGTCTTTCCTATGTTTGAGTAGAGTTTTCTTTTTAATAATGTCAGGTGTATTCATTTGTATCATCGTTTACTGAGTCAATATGTACTGAGTACCTGTCATGTGCCATGCCCTTTCCTAGACTGAATAAGACTGAAGAGAGATTTATTATAGAACATATACTGTAGTTGAAGTATACATAATAAACAAGCAAGAAAATAGTAGGAGTTTGAGGCCAGCCTGGGCTACATAATGAGTTCAAGGCCAGCCAGAACTACCATAGCAAGACCCTATGTCAAAAATAAATAAATAAGAAAAGGAAAAAGAAAATATCAATAATCCAGCATGGTACAGGGTTATTTTGGGTAGTCAGCTGAGACCTGAATGGCATAGAGTCAGTATGATAATAATTTGGACAAGCATTCCAGGAAGAAGAAGTAGCAGTGCAGAAGTTCTAAAGTAGCCAAGAAGAAAGCCAGTGTGACCAAAACATATAAAGGAGGAAGAGAAAGGTAGACATTTAGGTCAGAGGGCAACCAGGTGCCACATCATGCAGGGCCCATTATAAGGTCAAATAAAGTAGTAGTAGTAGTAGTAGATTTTAATTTTGAGAGTCTTTGTTTTTTTTTTTTTTTTTTTTTTTTTTTTTTTTTTTTTTGGAGACAGGTAGTTGAGACTGACCTAGAACTCAGTATGGAGCCCGGGCTGGTCTCGAACTCACAGCAACCTGCCTCAGCCTCCCACGTGCTGGGATTATAGGTGCACCACCATGCCCAGCTATTCTGAGAATTTTAAATGACATAATCTGATCTATATTTGTACAGTGTGACTTTGGTTGCTGAAAAGTACGAAGATTAAAGGGAACAGGCATAAAAGCAGGGAAACTTGAGACTGTTAAGAGTAATCTTGGTAAGAAATGAGTATCACCTAGACTAAGATGCAGATGCTGAGAAGCTGGCCTGGTTAAGCTATACTTTGAAGGTGATCTTAGGTTTGATGAAAGTGATAAGGAAATTAAAGTTTCAAAGATGACTTTTAGATTTGATGTTTAAACTATTGAGTGCTTTGGCAGATATGGTGACACACATTTGTAATCCCAGCACTCTGGGAAGCTGAAGCAGGAGGCTCAAAAGTTCCAGACCAGGCTGGGCAATTTAGGGGCTTAGTGAGACCCTGTCTCAAAATAAAGTAAAATAAAAAGAGTTGGGGATATGGCTCAGGGCCAAAGCCCTAAGTTCAATCCCAGTGCTAACTACAAACAACAGAAATTACTGGGTGGGCCCAGCTTTCTGTCCTGGTCCCAGAAAGGTGGTGTAGCTGGGCCAGTCCTCACTGGGACTACTGGGGATGTTTTGGAAGTGTGCCAGAATTGGTGAATGAAAGAGGCCTTGTGTTGCAGTGTGTTGTATAGTGATGGCCCTCAGCATCTTCTTCATACAGTAGCTTGGTGAAATGCCTAATTCGACTGCCAGCAGATTTCAGCATGAACAGGGAAGCATGGTTAACCCTTTTATCCTGAACACTGAGTGAGATACATTACTTAGGTGCTGTTCTCTATCTTTATGTTTATTGGACCAATGTTCTATATAAATAATTAAGATGTAAGCATTTCATATGAAAAGAATTCAATAGTTTTTAACAGTTAACCTCAGGATTGTCACTACAATATTACATTCTGCAAATGTTGTCTCATGTCAAACAATTTTTAGTACGGTATCTTTTAAGTCACACAGTGAAAAGCAAAATCAGTAAATTACTTAAGTGCTTTTCATTGTGGGAGAAAACAAACTATTGGGTGATTGCCACATGCCTATGGGGAAGTGTAAATAAGGGGCACAGAGAGGCCAGAGTGTCCATGAAAGAACTTGCATCTAGAAACAAAACCAGAGTTTTACAGAGCTTCTTCCTAGTTATGACAATATTCTGATGTTTTGATCTGGATGTTATTTCGCTCATTAGAACTGAGAGGTTATTTTCTAAATTCTTACTAATTGGAAATCTTTTAACTGATGTGTACACCAAGGGATTGCTCCTTTTTTCCTACTTAACTAGCAGTACTCCTTAAGCAAGCTTGATATAATAAGATAAGTAACTGGAAGATAATGACAGTATTCATATTAAGATTTCTCTTGTAGTAGGTTTCATAAATATTTAGTATTTGTGTTAAGTGCAATCATTTTAAAACATAAAGCAGAAACAAAAGTAGATAACTTCCACTTTTGTTAAGAAGGTAAACTTGAGTTGTCATTCAGTCCAATACACATAATGTAATTAATTGTATATCTATTCCCAAAAATTTGCTTGCTATTAGTATACCTCAGTTCATTACCAAAATATGTGAAACCACAGTGTCTGCTATTAGAATGGTTCAATGCAGCCAGTCAAGGTGACACACACCTGTAATCCCAGCACTTTGGAGGCTGAGGCAAGGAGACTACTACTATGAGTTCCAGGCCGGCCTGAGCTACAGGTGTGAGCAAGACCCTGTCTCAAAAAAGAAAGAAAGGTAGGCTGGGGATTTAGCTCAGTGGTTCTGCTGCTTGCCTTGCAAGCTCAAGGACCAAAATTCGATCCCTGGTACCCCCCCCCAAAAAAAAAAGAAAGAAAGGAAAAAGAAACAGATGTTTTACCCAGGTGCTAACAATGGTACCTTGATTGATGAATGTAATTCTTTCCATGACTGATTGCAAACCAAATTTATTTTACATTTTGTATCTTTGCTCTTATATATCTTTGCATTTAAAAACGTTATTTTAAGCTGGGTACTATGGCTTAGAGGCTGAGGCAGGAGAATCACTTGAGCCATTGAGTTTGAGACCAGCCTGAGCTACTGTGGGACACCATATCAATTTAAAAAAGAAAAATTTAGGTCAGGTATAGTCGTGCATGTCTGTAATTCCATCACTCAGGAAACAGAGCAGGAAGATCACTATGAATTCAAGGCCAGCCTGAACTACATAGCAAGACCTGGTCTCAAAATAAACAAACAAAAAGTTATTTTTAAATAATGTTATTTTGCCAGGCGTGGTGGTGCACACCTATAATCCCAGAATTTGGGAGGCTGAGGCAGAAGGATCGCTGTGAGTTCAAGACCAGCCTGGGCTACATAGTGAATTCCAGGTCAGTCTCAACTACAAAGTGAGACCCTGTCTCCAAAGAAAAAAAAAAGTTATTTTTTTAGCAGGGGATGCTGGCCCATACCTATAATCCTAGCACTTTGCAGGCCAAGGCAGAAAGATCCCCAGGAGTTTGAGGCTAGCCAGGGCTACGTAGTGGATTCAAGACCAGTCTGCACTTTTCAGCAAGACTCTGTCTCAGGAAAAACAAAACAAAACAAAAATGTTATTTTTCTGACAAATTTCTCTAAAGCCAGCAGGCATACTCAGAGCTGTGGATAAATCAGTGACCTGTTCAATTCCTTCATCATGGCAGTTGCTCACAGTCAAGCTCACTTTTTTTTATTTTTCCCAAAATTGAAATCAAAATCAAAGACACTTGGAGACTTGATGACCAAATTAGATTTGTGAAGTTTTTCCTTCTGGACAGTCTAACCAAATCTTTTAACATTTCATCTGTTTTTCACAGATGTTTGACACAGTGAAGCGATTAAGAGAAAAATCTTGTTTAATTGTCGCAACTACTTCAGGATTGGAATCTGTGAAGAATGATGAGGTAAATAACACCGTAATAATGGTGACATTCATTTCTTTCTTTGTCTCTTACTCTCTCCCTCTCTGTCCTTCTCTCTCTCTCTGTCTTTTTTTTTTTTTAGTACTGGCAAGCAAACTCAGACAGGTACTGTGCCACTGAACTATGTCCCCAGCCCCATCTCTGTCTTTGAACAAGAAGTTACTTCTGTTAGAAGGAAGCTGTTTATATAATGTATATGACATCTGTTCATCTTTTATTATGTTTCTGTACAGGGAATAATGATGCCTGACACGTAGTTATTGAGTACAATTTCTGAATTTTATAAAAGCAGAAGAATTTAATGTATAGTGGAGCTCTATTAGGAATACTATACTACCATTAATTTTTTTAATATTTTAATGTCTACAATTGAGTTCTCATTTTTTTTAATTGGTCCTGGGGATCAAACTCAGGACCTTGCACCTGTGAGGCAGGCGGTGGCAGCACTGAGCTAAATCCCCAGCCCAGGTTCTCATAATTTAATTCACAATATTCTTCTATTAGAGGAATATAAGAAAATGATATATTTTAGGTTCAAGGAAGAGTAGTAATATTTATACCAATGATTTCCGTACTGTAGTGAATCAGGTTTTTAAATTCTCTAGATTATTAGGCTATCATTACTTATGGTTATTTGCTGTCCTTCTAAAAGGAAAATACAATAAAAAAAGCACCGAATATGTCTCAGTAGTGTCATTGAAGTTCTCAGCCTTAGCAGTGCATTTAGGATTGTTTGACATCAGGTTAGTTAATATACATTGTTTAAATATCCATGAATAAGTGACTGACAAATGATTTCAAAATTTTGTTCCACCTAAATCTTTTAATGTACCTGCACTGAGTAAAGAGGCAGTTTATTGGATAATTAAGGTACTTGGCCTTTTATATTAAATTGCTGTTATAGTTGGAGTAACAAATTAGTTGTATAATAATGATGAAGACGTTAATGTTTATTTTGAAACACTGCATTGAATCTAGGTCTTAAGGGGCTTGTAAATTTTCCAGAATCTTAATTCTTAGAGATTTTGCCAAATAAACAGTATACAGATCGAGCATTTCTAGTTCAAAAATCCAAAATTTTGGAGGACTTCGGACTTCACAGATTTTTGGGTCAGTATTGCTTAATGGTAAAGAATATGCAAATACTGTATTCCAAAATCCAAGTCTCAGAAATCTGAAACACTTCTAGTCCTCACCATTCCAGATGTGGGATACTCAACTGTATGTAAATTTTTAACAGGGAATCTTACCTAATTTTCTGGTTTTAGATTATTCATGATAAAGAAAAAGCAGAAAGAAAAAGAAAAGCTGAAGCTGCTAGGCTGCATCGCCAGAAAATCATGGCTCAAATGTCCGCCTTACAGAAGAACTTCATTGAAACTCACAAACTTATGTATGACACCACATCAGAAATGCCTGGGAAGGAGGACTCTGTCATGGAGGAAGACAGGTAAAGCAAAGGAAAATCAGAAATCAACAGTTTAGGGCCAGGGATTTAGCTCAGTGGCACCGTGCCTTCCTTGCAAGTGCAAGGACCTGAGTTTGATCCCCAGTACCAAACAAAAAATTAGCAGTTGAGCTTTTGAAGAAAAAAATTAAGTATTCATTTGAAATCATGTTTTCTAAAACATTTTTATAATGAGAGAAAAGATACGAAACTGGGTATAGCAGTAAAAGAAATCCACGCCTGCTATGTTGTATGTATAGGCTCTTTTAGATACATACTTATACATCAATTCCCATGTTACAAATCATTCTTATGACTCCTGAGAAGAGCAGCTACAGTTTCTACAGATTTAAAACAGATTCATCACCTGAAAAAAGTAGCTTATAGTAGGTTTTCTTTTTCTCTTAAAAAGACAGAAGATGATCCCTAAGAGAAGTTGAGATAGTGCATTAGAATAGGAATCAATAAATTTAGGTTTCTTGAGTCCTCGGTACATTGTGCTTTTAGGCAAATTGGTAACTTCTGAGCCATGCTGTATGGACTGTTACATAAGTTCAGTGAGAAAAAGGAGGCAAAACAATAGTACTTTCAAAAGTATTCTGCTGGGCATGGTGGCGCACACCTGTGATCCCAGCACTCGGGAGGCTGAGGCAGGATGTTTACAGTGAGTTCCAGACTAACCTGGGCTACATAGTGAGTTCCAGGTCAGTCTCAACTACATAGTGAGACTCAAAAGAACCAAAAAAAAAGGCATTCCAAGAAATTGAAAATACTCCTATGCTTATTTTACAAACTTTCACTACAGTTTAAAACAATGTGTGTTGTGAATACTTTTAGTAAATTGTGTTTTTAGTAGCAGCAGACACATTATGTTCTGTGTAATATGTTTGTATTCCTGAAGCTTAGTGTACTCACATAGCCCATAAAGAATAACGAGATCCTGGATTCATTTCTCAGCATGTTAAAAATATTACAATTAAACAGAATTAATAAAAAGAAAAAGAAAGGTACACTTTTGGTGAAAAGAAAAAGGAAGGTATGCTTAATGGTAAAGTACATGCAAGTACAGTATTCCAAAATCTAAGTCTCAGAAATTTGAAACATTTCTAGTCCAACCATTTGAGATGCAGGATACTCAACTCATTCTAAATTTTTAACGGTGAATCTTACCTAATTTTGTGGTTTAACATTCAGATTACTCATGTTAGAGAAAAAGCAGAATGAAAAAGAAAAGCTGAAGCTACTATACTGCATCACTGTATTTGGCTAACCATAGTACAGTAAAACTAGAAATAATAATCTCTGGTACCAAAAAAAAAACAAAAACAAAACTAGAAATAAAAACTAAACACAGGGCTGGACCAGTGATTTAGCTCAGTGGTTTCGCTGCCTGCCTTGCATGCACAAGGGCTTGCATCCGACCCCCAGTACCAAAAAATAACTAAACATGGGGCTGGGGATTTAGCTCAATGGCACCACATCTGCCTTGCAAGCGCAATGTTGTGAGTTCGATCCCCCATAACAAAAAAAATATGTAAACAAAGGTTACTCAGAGTTAATTAATGGACTTGATGTTTTCATTTTTTTGTTTTACTGCTTCTTGGTTGGATATATAATTTGTGAATGTATTCTCTTTGAAAACAATACAAATAACCTAGTGCATTTCCTTTCACCATCATTTACATTTCTAATCTTTACAACCATTGTTTTGAGCCTCTTCCTGTATGCATTTATAAACATGTACATAAATAGTGGGTCATTAGATAGATAACCCTTCCTCTATTCCTTTTTTTGAAGGGGAGATTAGGACATGAATAGAGTCTGCGTGTGTTGTAGCAAGGATCAATAACAAGCTACCCTGGTGCAGCACTGAGATTGAGGCTCAATCCACAATGAAAGTCACACCACACTACATGAAAACGAGAGTAAAGATAGCTTTATTACAAGGTTAAGCAATAAGAATAATCAAAAGAAAGTATGACAGATAAAAGTACTACATCACCAGTTGGGGTAGCAACTTGGCTCAATATCCGAGGATAACCAGGGAAATCCCAAGACAGCAACTGGTCAGGGTCCCACTGGGCAGAATCCCTGCATGCACTTCTAAGAGTCTCCCAAAGTTGGCTTTTTCCCTGATAGCTTATATAGCATGTTACACAAAGGTGGCCTCACGCCAATAAGGCTTATGTATCTTAGAGTCTGCTGTGGGATCTGCTGAGGAGCCAGGACAGAGTCCTTGTGCCAAATATTTCAGATTAAGGTGTTATTTCCTCATGGACAGACTCTCCAAGGGTACCCAGTCCTCCTCGAGCCCAACACATACAGAGGTCACACTTTGGTCACATGAATGTAACTTAACTCAAAAAACCTATTCCCTTTAGCATGATGGGTGGTTAATACAGTATCTGCATAATCAGGACTTGCCCTGATTGTGCCTATTTGATTCTTTTTGGGGGAGGGGAATGAAGTTTCTGCAGCTTCTTTTGTAACTTTTGTGGTTTATTTTTCTTTTCTTTCTTTTTTGTTGGGGCAGGGTGTGGGGTACCAGGGATCGAACTCAGGCCCTTGTGCTTGCAAGGAGGCAGCAGAACCACTGAGCCAAATCCCAGCCCTTGGTTTATTTTTCTTTTTATCATACATTTTTGTTCTACAGCTTATTTTCTTAGTATTTTGTAAATCTTTCCATATGAGTGCATACGGAGTTATAGTGTGGGATTTTACTTCATTTTTTATGATTTCTGTAGAGTCTGCCATGGTATGTATTTAGAATATTTTATCTGATTGTGTACATATAGGTTGCTTTTCATTTTCCCTCATTACAAATTGTGAAACCATTTTTTGTATGTGCATCATTACACAATTGTCCAAGTAATTTTCAATCCAACAGGTGAAAGTTATGGAAGGAACTGGTAATGATACATACAGAGAAGCAGAATGAAAGTAAAATAAGAAAAAGTTTATTTTGTTGACAGAGGTTAATTGCACCTAAAAGCAGTGCTTGGGATCAACCTCGTACTAGGTTATAGCTTCCCCTTTTATAGGGTTTTACAGCTATGATCTCATTCAGGTGGCTACATTTCATTCTCTCAGTTCACATTGCCATTATACAAATCTCAGCCCCAAGACAGTTAACTTTAACCCAGAAATTCTTTGTAGTTAGAATTTTACCTTTAAGATTTGCCTAGTTATCTATCCTACCTCATAGGAAGGGAGTGTTTCCAGTCGGCAAAGCAAAGTTAACAGTGGTTCTTTTCATCTTTGGAACTCAGGGTCTTGAAGTGCCCTGCTATCTCAGGATGAGACCAGATGCCTCATTCAGTGGTTAATGCCTCCAGTGTCTGCTAATTCTGAACTAAACAAAGCAAACTGCTGTCAGAAACAGTAGAAGCCATTCTACATTATGATATTTGTAGGTTTTTGCCATTTTCAAGAATTTTCTCTATCAAAAGGTCTAAGTCAAAATCTTAATAATATTGCCATATTGCCCTTCAAATGATTTAACTTATTTCTAGTCCCAACATTGTACTGTATGAGAATACTTGTTAGTTGAATGTGATAGCACATACCTTTTGTAATCTCAGCACTCCAGAGGCTAAGACAGTAGGATCGCTGAAAGTTCAAGAACAGCCTAGCCTACATAGTGAGTTCAAGACAAGCCTGAACTTCAAAACAAGATCCTTTCTCAAACAACAACAACAAAAATACTAACACTACTACTACTAATAATAAAATAATAATAATACCTGTTCTTTACCAATATTTAACTATTATCAAAATTTAAAATTATGAACTGGGCTCATAATATGAGCTGAGCTCATACCAATAATCTCAGCACCTTGGGAAGCTGAGGCAAGAGGATCACAAGTTCAAGCACAGCCTTAGACCCTGTGTCAAAATTTTTTAAATAAAAAAGGGCCAGGGATGTAGCTCAATGTGAAGGCCCTGGATTCAAATCCTCAGGACGGCAAAAGTAAACAAAAAATTAATAATAAAGATATAGCTGAGTGGTAGACCTCTTGCTCAGCATGCATAAGACCATAGGTTAGATCCTCAGCACTCCCCTAAAAAAATGCTAACTAAATTTTCCTAATTACTAGTTAGTGCTAGGTTGAACATTTTCTCATAATGATTTACATTTTATCTTCTGTGAATTAACTGCTATTTTTTTGCCTATCTTCATTGAGTACCTTCTTGTCTAATTAGATGCTTTTTAACGTTATACTTCCCATATGTTATCCCTCCTTTTTAAATATTATAAGGTTTAGCCATAAAGAAGTTTGCAGTGTTAATGAAGATGGATTTATCAGTCTTTTAGGGTTTTTAACTTTTTGTATCTCTCTCTCTTTTTTGTTTTGTTTTGTTTTTTGAGACAAGGTCTTGCTGTGTAGCCCAGGCTGGTCTCAAACTTGCAGCCCGATCCTCCTGCCTCAGCCTCCATGCACCATCATACCCAGCAAGTTATAACTTTGTGTATCTTGATTAAGGCTTTTCCCATCCCAGAGTATTAATTACATAGTTTTGGTAATATATTTTCCTTTTAAAAATCTAGCGCAAGGTCCCGAGTTCAATCCCTGGTACTAAAAAAGACAACAACAATAAAAATCAAATATTAGAGATAAAACTAAAGTTATACTAGCCTAAATTCTGTTCCCCTTTTTGCCCTCTCTCAAAAGTTCCCTGGTTATAAATTTAATATCTAGTTGTCAGAATTTGTACTATGCTGTTGTGTACAAATATACCTAACCACAGTAGTATCAGCCTTTTGTTTCATTTGCATTATTATTATTATCATTTTGCAATTTCCCATTTTCAGTCAACCGTCTTAGAAATGTATGTATGTGATGATGAACAAAATGAGCTCACTGTTTCTCAGTCTTGACATTAGGCTATGATTCTTTTTTGTCCAAGTCTGTCCCACAGATTGCAGGATCCTTTGCCTCTTGTGCCCACTAGTCCTTATGACAACCGAAAAATAATGCCAAGAGGTACTACCATATCTTCCTGAAAGATACCTTTTGAAAACTCTAATAGATTAAACATTGGTGTGGTGGCACATACCTGTATTCCCAGCATTTGGGAGGCTGAGACGAGGATTTCTATGAGTTTGCACTAATAGTGAGTTTAAATCCAGCCTGAACTACATAGGGAGACCCTGTCTCAAAAAAATACATACATACATAAAAACTCTAAGTCTGTATTTGTTTTGTTTTGTTTTGTTTTTTGGATCAGGAATCAAACTCAGGACCTTGTGCCTGCAAAGCAATTGCAGTGCCAGTGAGCTAAATCCCTGGCCCTGTAAGAGTTTGTGTTATGTAAGTTCATTACATTAGTGACTATTTGTGTACTTTCTAGTTTGTTGAATTAAGGGTCTTCTTGCAATGACAGTATTTTGGAGTGTGGCCTCCGAGGCCAAGTCCCTTGGAATAAATCCTAGCTCAGCTACTCTCACTAGTGATGAGTTACTGAGTCTGTCTCTTATCATCTCTTGGTCTCAGTTTCTTCCTTTGAAAAATGGAGGCAATTATAATACCTCATAGGCACCACAATTAGCACATTATAAATGCTTTCTGTTATTTAAATTTTACTGTCACACACATCAGTAGATCCTAATAGTCGCTATATTGTTTATGTGTCCTTTTTAGTTTTAGTAGTTACTGAAAAAGAAATGAGTAAATACCATAGAGAATAGATAAAAGTATTGTGGTACATTTAATAAAAGTACCATGCAGCCATTTAAAAATGTTTCTGAAGAGATTTTAATAACTAGGGAAAAATAACAAGGAGATGGATGAATAAAGCGGGACATAAATAAATCTGTATATGTAATGTGATCTTATTTATGGAAAGTATATATTAGCAGACTGGAAGGAAACATGCAAAGTTATTAGTGGTTATCTCCAAGTTGTAGGAGTATAATGCCATTTATTTTCTTTTTTATGCTTTTATAAATTTTCCAGTGAGTATATATTACTTTTATATTCAGAAAAAATAAATACCAAAAAACTAAATTTAATTAAAAAGGGAAAAACCCAATAATAGCTTGTTGAGATAGTAAATAAAATATACATTCTGTTTTGTTATTTGTTTTTTTGCACTTGGCACAAACTATTTTATAATAAGAGAATGAAATGATTTTTAAAAGGTCGAGGTTGATACTTTTAAGGTAAAATCTTTTTAATTCTTAAAGCTCTTGCCTACATTTACTTAAAATCTACCAAAATATAAAGACAAGTGACCAAAATGTGTCTCCTTATTTCTGATCATTTCTTTTGATAGCACCCCAGCAGTTAGTGACTACTGCAAAATTGCTTTGGGTCCTAAACGGGGTCCAACTATTACTGAAAAGGAGGTGTTGACATGCATCCTCTGCCAAGAAGAACAAGAGGTGAAAATAGAAAATAATGCCATGGTATTATCAGCCTGTGTTCAGAAGTCTACTGCCTTAACCCAGCACAGGGGAAAACCCATAGAACTCTCAGTGGGTATGTATTGCTTAATATCCTTTTCAGCATTTGTTTTTATACCTTTGTTATTAGAAAAATATTATTTGACAAACATTTGAGAGTGAAGTTGGATTTAGTCTTATTTGGTCAAATCACAGTTTACTCAATATTAAGAGGGACTCTAGGTTTTTTTATATACCATACAACTACTGTACTTTGGTTTTGTTTTTTTTAATTTCAATTTTTGTTAGTATGTGGCTACATTGCTTATTCTAGCTCTGCATCTATCTCTGGTATTTATTATTTTTGTTTACTCAATCAATTTAAAGTAGGTTGTAAGCATCAATATGTCTTACTCTTAAGTATTTTTGCATGGATTTTCCTTTTGGTTTTTTGAGACAGGGACTCATGTAGTTCAAGTCAACCTTGAACTCACCATCTATCCCAGGTTGGCCTTGAACTTGTGATCCTCCTGCTTCAGCCTCCTGTGTGCTGGTATTATAGTTTGCACCACCACACCCAGCTACATACATTTGCTAAAATTAAGAACAATCCATTTTATATATGCCATACTATCATATTTTTAAAAGTTAATAATTCAAAAAATATCATCTAATGTAAAATTTAAAGTTTATAACTTTTCTCAAAATATTGTAGGTATATATTTTTTCTACTCAATATTCAGCCATGTTTTCATGTGTTGGTTTAAGCTTTTCCTGATATTTTAATCTAGTTACTCCTTGACCTTTTTTTTCATGATATAACCTTGTTTGAGGAATGCAGGACAGTTGTACAGTGTCTCATGTTGTAAACTTATCTGTTGCTTCATGATTACATTCATGTTAAACATTTATTAGGTGGGAATACTAATTAAGTAATGTATTCACTTACATCACACCAAAAGCTAGCTGCAGGCCGGGGATTTTGCTCAGTGGTTCCGCTGCATGCCTCGCAAGCTCAAGGTCCCAAGTTCAATCTCTGGTAACAAAACAAAACAAAAAAAAAGAGCTAACTGCTTTATATTTACATATCCTTGCAATAATAATAATAATGATAATAAGAGCTAACATTTATTGAACACTTAACATGTGCTGAACATTGATTATCTGTGTCATCCTTACAACAGCCCTGTGAGTTTAGTCACCAGTATTGGCTCCATGTAAGCAGTGCAAGACCTGAGACACAGAGAAGCTAAGAAACCTGCCCAAGCCATGAATTAATTTATGAAACAAGAATTTGAATTCCCTAGTCCAGTGCCAGCCAACCTTTTAGAGCTTTTAATGACACCAACAACCTGCTGTAGCAATGGGCCCTAGGTTCCCCACCACTGTCCTAATTTGTGCTCTTTTTCACTGGGTTATCATGCCCCCCAAAAATCCGTTAACATTATCATATATTCAAGTTACTCTTTAAAATTACAAGGGTAAATTAAATCTTGAATCATAAAAAATCACAGCAACAACTAAGGTAATACCATTTAAACGTAATATTCAGTTTAAAATGTAAAATAAAAGTTCAATTGTCATTAATCCGTACTAATTTTAGAATCATACCTAATAGTCCTGTTTTATATTTTTCTTACTATTTAGAATAATGTCTTGCTGGGGATTTAGCTCAGTGGTTCTGCCACCTGCTTCACAAGCTCAAGGTCCTGAATTCGATCCCCAGTACCAAAAAAATTTTTTTAAATAGAATAATATCTTGCTGTCATAGGGTAATGGCATAATCTGCAGCTGTGTCCCACAAAGTTAAAGATTGAATTGAGGACAAAAGAAGAGAATGTATTAAGAAGAAAGAAATAGCTCCCAGTAGTTGTGAGGGGACCCTTAAGTGTGTTGCCAAGGGGACTCTTTGTTTAGCAGTTTTGTGTCAGAAATGACCAGGGCTTAAACCACTCTGAGGCAAACTGTTACCAACCTGTAGGACTAAAACAAGCTTACTTAAACTAGAAATGGTTCTGTGAGGAGTCAGGCACATAGCAAGACTATGTCTGCAGGTGCCTCTTGGCCTCTGTCCTATCTAGGTGGCAGTGGCTTGTTAAAAGAACAAAATGAGAAAGAAAAAAATTTTTCTGGGTAGGTAGAAGCAGAAGTTGTCATGGTAGCCATCTGTTACCTTGCTGTTACCTTGCTTGTTACACTCCTGAACTTAATTATTTAAGTTCTTATTCACTTTTGACCTCAGGCTCCTGCTTCTCTGGCTAAGCATCCTCACTCTGCCTTGGGCCCAGTGCCTCTCTAGCTTCCTGTTATCTTCTGCCTAAGTTGCCTGTCTATATTGTAATACTTAGACATTCCTCAGAAATGAAAGTTTGTCGTTAGGAATTTAGACCTGATAACCTTTCTTTCTCTTTCCCCTTACCCCCTATGTAACTTTGGAAGAGAAAAGTACATACCACTTACTTTTGTCTTTCTGAACCAGAGACCCTGGACCCACTTTTCATGGATCCAGACTTGGCATATGGAACTTATACAGGAAGCTGTGGTCATGTAATGCACGCAGTGTGCTGGCAGAAGTAAGTTGTCCCTCTGACAGGTTCTTGAAAGAGACTAGGAACAATGAAGTTCACTACAGGCCATAAAAAGGCATGTTTTCTCAAGTCTTCTTTGTTTTATTATTGGAATAATTGAAGCAACTTCAATTACAAATCCTGTTTGCATGGTACTAATTATTATAATTGGGAATTGGTATACAGTTATCAGTTTAAGATTTTTCAGGTGCTGAGAGTATACCTCAGTGCTAAAATATTTTCTTGATGTGTACAAGGCCCTGAATTCAGTCCCCAGCACTGCAAAAGTTAAAATTAAGTTTAAAAAATAATAATAACAATAATTCACTATTCTTTTGTGCTTATTTTTCAAAGCTAATCAATATATATATAAAAAAGGCAGTAACCGTTATTTTTTTAAAATCTGAATACATGTAGTGGCGAGTATCTTTGAGATAGGGCAAGTAGTTCTAGTTTTATCTCAAGATAAAAATTTAGAAATGTAATTCCTGAGAAATATTTTGTGTAGAGTGTACTCATTTGCCATTGGATTAAAATATATAACTTCTCTTTGATTTTTTCTTAGTACTGAAGCTGGTCTTTGGAAACTAAGGGAATAGTATCTACAGTTATGTCTCAATGCTTTTGAAGCAGGAGACAAGGCAGGAGTCAGTACAGTCTTATTTTCTGTGATATATATTCTAGTTTGCAACCTTTTTTATAATTATAACTTGTATTATATAAATTCAAAGATGTTTATTGGGACAAAAATCTAGATTTTATTTTTACTTGGATCAAGGCAGAGACATATATGTAACTCTAGACAGCCTTTCTCTTTGTGACTTTGCAGGTACTTCGAAGCTGTGCAGCTGAGTTCTCAGCAGCGGGTCCATGTGGACCTGTTTGACTTGGAGAGTGGAGAGTACCTCTGCCCTCTGTGCAAGTCTCTGTGCAACACTGTGATTCCCATTATCCCTCTGCAACCGCAAAAGATAAACAGGTACATCTCAGTGTATATCTTGGTTTTACTTTTTAAAAACCTACCATTAATCCTTTAATTTGTACATGTTTTTGTTAGAATAAATACTAGTTGCTTTATTCTTTAACAGAAATTAGTTTTTTTTTAGATCATGATTGGTATACTTTAAGATTTAAAAATAAATTTTTTGGTCTTTAAGAAAACTGGGAGTTCATCTACTCAGATCAACAAGTTGTATATATATCTTCCATCCACTGTTACAATAGAACCCAGATATGTCTTAACACTCACAGAAAAAAGAAAGATATGGAAGAATAACTCAATCCTTTTATGTGACCCTTTGCCACTATCAGAGTTAATGTTTTATAGCTCTAAAGGCCTTTGTATTATTTTCTGAAATTCTACTATTTTTCTAAAGCTCTTAATGCTGTAGTTTTAGAGGTCTGGAAAAAATTAAATGATAAAAATAAAAACATTAGATTCATCATATGTCTTTGGATAATATGTGAGCATTTAGCATTTTAGAGCCAGGCATGGTGGTGCATGCATGTAATCCCAGCGCTCAGGTGGCTGAGGCAGGAGAATTGTTTCAAGTTTGAGGCCAGCCTGGGCTACATAGTGAGTTCAAGGCCACCCTGAATTACATACCAAGACCTTGTCTCAAAAACCAACCAAATACACACGTACATACACACACACACACACACACACGCACACACACACACACAAAAGAAAAAGTACGGGGCATGGTGAGACATGCCTGTAATCTCCACAGCAGTCAGGACACTGAGGCAGGAAGATTGCCATGAGTCCAAGGCCAGCCTAAACTACATAAGCAAGACTTTGTCTCAAAAAAAAACACTTTAAAATTTTTATTTTCTGTCCATTTGTAAATAGAATTTAATAGCAAATTCAAAAGTAATATCTTTGGGAAGCAAGGTCAAGAAGTTGTTGCTCTCACTCATTATTTCATAGCATTAGAAAACCTAATTTAGAAATTACCTTTTTCAGCATATCAAGGTGTAGAATGTCATAGGAAGAAAATAGTGTTAGAATGGTTTATTCATTTATTGAATAATTAATATGTTTTAGGCATTCTGCTATGTACTTGCTACATTATCTTATTTAGTTTTTGTAATTGCTTACTGAAGCAGGTACTGTTATTTGCATTTAAAGATAAGAATTTGGAGACAGATCCATGTTTTGGACCTAAACCTGATTCCAAAGCCTTGTCTAGGTATATACCTAAAGACAAAGATAAAATAAATCATAATAAAATAAAGTGATTTCCAAATTCTTGTTAGCCTACACAAGTGTTTTTTATGTAATGACTCCCCAAAATAAAGATTATGCAACATGTAAATTATGTACTCTGTAAAGGGACTCAGTAGTTTCCTTTCTTGGTGTCTTTAAGAATACAGTATTGAGAGCTAGGGATTTAGCTCAATGGTTCCGGTGTCTGCCTAGCAAGTGCAAGAGCCCAAGTTTGATCCCCAGTACCCAAAAATAAAAAAGAATACAGTGTTTCAGGGCAGTCTTTTCTAAAGTCAGAAAACTTATCCTTATGACCAGGTATCTTAGAATCCTGAGACACTTATTCCTTAGCAGTGGTGATGAACCTATGGCACATGTGCTGCAGCGGGCTATTTGTATCATTGAAAGCTCTAAAAAGTTCACCATCAATGTACTATAGTAACAACTTTGTTTCTTCAGTCTGAAATGTATAATTATACCTGACATTTTTATAAAGCACTAGAAATTACCTAATGTAAATATATTTACCTTTTTGTCTTTAGAAAATCAATATGAATATATTCTAAGATAACAAAGTTAACATAAACTTTATTAAAACTAACATGTTAATTTAAATATTTAATAAATCTATTTAAAAATGTAAAACTAAAGCACTAGTATTTTTAAAGAAAATTAGTCATAGTCAATCTTAGAATATGTTCATTTTTGAGAACCAAAAAACTTTCAGGATATAAAACTAGCATTAGAAACACAATAGTTTTTCTATATACCAATAATGAACTAGTTGAAAAAAAATCAGGAAGATAATTCCATTGACAATAGCTTCAAAAACAATAAAATATCTAGGATTCAACCTAACCAAGGAGGTGAAAGACCTATAGTGAAAATTACAAAACTCTGAAAAAAGAAATGGAAAAAGAAACTGAAAGATGGAAAAACCTCCCATATTCATGGATCAGTAGAATTACCATTAAAATACCTCATGTTTCCAGAAGTGATCTACAGATTCAGTGTAATCCTTATCAGAATTCCAATGCCATTTTTTACAGCACTAGACAAAGCAAAAAGAGCAAGGCTGAAGGCATCATGATACTGATTTCAAATGATATGTACTACAAAGTCAGAGTAACAAAAACATTGTGGTGCTGGCACACAAATAGGCCAGTTGAATAGAAATAAACTCACACAGCCACACCCATCTGATTCTTGACAAAATAGTCAAAAACAGCATTGGAGAAAGCCTCTTCAACAGGCCCAGGCAGTATCAAGAACAACGGCCCCAAGTTCAGATATAATCATCACACTGAAGGCACAGAGAGAAGGCATCATGCCTGATGGAAGGAACGGAGACCTGAGCGTAATGGGCTTATGACCTAAGACAAGAAGTTAGAATTTTTTAAGTGTATGATGGAAAAGCAACTTGAACAGGGATGTAATATAATCCGATTTACAGTTTTAGAAGCACCTTCTGGCTGCTGTATGGTGAATTTATACTTAATGAAGCAAGAATAGAAGCAGAAAGAGCAGCTAGGAGTCAGCTGAAGTAGTTCAGGTGAAGGATGATATGAGTTGGACTAGAGTAAATAGATAGCAGCAGCAGAAAGAAGTGGTCAACTTGGGATATATTAGAAGGCAAACCTGTAAGAGTAGCTACAAATTAGAGTGTGAGAATCAGAAAAGTCAGTGATGATACCTAGTTTTTCACTTAAGCAACAAGAACGGTATTTTCATTTACTACCATCATTACTTTTGGGTGGTGTCTTGCTGTGTGTACTTTTAAAATTCCCTCTGTCTCCCCGAAAATTTATTATTAGGCACATGTTTCAATGGCCTGGCAGGTTAATCTGGAGAAATTTAAAATTTTGCTGTAGCCATTTATTGAAGGAAAGGCTGCAAGTGTAGCTCTTCAGACTGACTCAGAACAAGTTTATTTAATAATATTTAAATGTCATTTTTTCAGGGAGAATGCAGAAGCTCTTGCTCAACTTTTGACCTTGGCACAGTGGATACAGACGGTTCTGGCCAGAATATCAGGTTATAATATGAAACATACTAAAGGTTTGGTTAAATTTACGTTGTTATTATCTATGTGAAAATTGTGTCAAAATCTTTATAAAAAAATTTTTTGCTAAAATATGGTTTGCCAGTACACTTTTGTTGTGTATTAGGAAATAGAGGTTTTTTGACTTAAGATTTCAGTATGTCTTACCTCATTTTTCTCAGTTTAGTCACATTTCATACTGGGTACAGAATAGCATTAATCTGGAGTCAGACTACTTGGATTTACATTTTTGATCCAAAATCCACCCAAGTCAGTGAGATCCACTTACTGGCTGTGAGTTTGTGGGCAAGTTACTTAACACTTCTGTGATTAAGCTTTCTTATTTGGGGAATGGGATTGATAATACACATTAAATTGGCTGAAGAATTAATTGAGTAATTATATGTAAAGTATAGCCTGAACTACACAGCGAGATGCTATCTCAAAAAAGGAAAAAGGGGGCCAGGGATTTAGCTCAGTGGCACCGCGCCTGCCTCTGCTATAAACATAGGCTAGCACCTTACATTTAGAAAAGAAAGACTGCCCATAACTGAGGTTGGAATAGGTATAATGTAGAAAATTAAAATTAGGTAATAAAGTCTGTTGGAGAAGGATTTTCTGAGAACTCAGTATAGACTGAGCTTTGAATGACCTATGTGAGAGCATGCCATAAGATAGGAATGAGTTGGGCGTGTTTGGGAAGCAGAAAGAGTGTAGGGCTGGGAATTTAGCTCAGTGGTTCTGGCCTCTGCTTTGTAAGCATAAGGTTTCGAGTTCGATCCCCAGTAAAAAAAAAAAAAAAAAAAAAAAAAAAGCGAGATGTAGACAGTATATATAATATTGCCTTTTGTTCCTTTCTTTTTCTTTCCTTTACTGGAAATTGAACCCAAAGCCTTTGTACAGAGCTACATCCCCAGCCTTTTTTATTTTTTATTTTGCAATAGGTGTTCACTAAGTTACTAAATTACCCAGGCTAGGCTTGAATTTGTGATCCTACTGCATCTGCTTCCCATACTACTGGGATTATGACATGTGCCACCATGCCCAGGTCATTATTCATTTTTTAAAAGTTGTATGTATAACATTTATATGGAGAAAATAATAATGTCATCAAATTTTATTTGTGGGTATCTGCATAGAGAAAATAAAGGTGTTTATTTATTGCTTATTGTCAGTTTCTAAGTTTTCTAAAGTGATCATATGTACTTTAAAAAGCTATGCATTGGGGATTTAGCTCAGTGATTCCACCACCTTCCTCACAAGTGCAAGGTCCCAAGTTCGATCCCTGGAACCAAAAAAAAAAAAAAACTACAAGGTGTCTGATTAAACATATTCATGATTTTTCTTTCTTTTTCTTTTTAATATGTAAGGAGAAAACCCAATACTTCCTATGTTGTTTGATCAAGGGATGGGAGATTCTACTTTGGAGTTCCATTCTATCCTGAGTTTTGGAGTTCAGTCTCTGTAAGTATCTGATTGTGTTTGTGTGTGGTTATGAAAGTAATAATAGAAACTAGTATATATTTCTTACTTTCCTTCCTTTTTTATTTGTAAAATTATTATTTTATCTCACTTTTATTTCTTTCTCCATGAAGTTTTATTTGTATTAATAAAATTAAATGGGGTGTGTGTGTGTTACTAGGGGTTGAACTCAGGAATTCTCAAATGCTAGGCAAGTGCTCTCGCGTAGCAAGTACTTTGCAATATTAAAGTAATATGTATTTTAAAATAAATAAATAAAGTAATATGTATTAGGTTAGACCATGCCTCTAAATAATCATTTTTGCCCAACAAAGAAAGAAAAAAATGCCAGTTTTAGCCAGGTGTGGTAGCACACACCTGTTAATCCCAATACTTGGAAGGCTGAGGCAGGATGATCACTGCAAGTTTGAGGCCAGCCTGGACTACATAGTTAATTCATTGCTAGCCTAAACTACATAGTGAGATCCTGTCTCAAATTTTTAAAAAATGCCAATTTCGTATGGTCCATGCCACATGAGGACCAGAATTTAAGTGACTTCACTTAAAACCCCAGCTAGTTTGCACTGTTATTTTCTGAAGAGTCTGTTTCCGCCCTAGTCTGCCCACGGTTCATTTTTCGTGGATGAAAACTTGAAGCAATGGTCTGCTCACCTGCTTCCTTAAGTTACTGGAAAGATGTATGACAACACACTGAAATATATAATGTACCCTTATTGGGAATTAATATTTCACAAAGATGATAACAGAGACTACTTTTTACTAGTTGTAGTTCTTGCATATATTATCTGCCCCCTACTACTGAAAGTGCTACATGGTTATTTATCACAGGTACATACAACATGATACACACACCACTATCAACACCAATACCTCTTGGTCCCTTTTCCAAACACCAAAACTTGTTAGAATAGGTCTGATTCCTCTGAAATTTAATCCTTCTCTGCCCAGTCTGTCTTTTAATTTGAAACTGAACAATTCTGGCTGTGATCTTAAACTGCAATGGGTTCATTACCATTTCGTAAGAGATACTTTTCTATCTTTAGGAGAACAGATTCTGTCATTCCAAATTTCTGAATTCTTATTGAATAAATCTTCTACAGAGGTACTAGTCTCTACCAAAGAACAATTAAGTCAAAAGGAGTTAAAATTGTTCCTATTGCATTGATATCTCATGGGACTTATTAGGAAGTAACCCTCTTTACTAAGTTATTTTTAAAGTGGCTGGGTTTGGGGCTTTTTTTGTTCTTCTTTTTTTTTTTGTCTTTTTATTGAGTTTATTGGTACAATCTAGGTCTACAATACAGTTACATTCATTCATTACTGGGACTTTTTTTGTTCTTTACTACATGTTTGCAGTACAAAGTAATTACATTCTTGTGGGAAGTTGGTACATGTACATGATACAGCTGAATTCTTTTTTCATCTCCTCTTCTCCCTCTCCACTTCCTCCATCTATTGATCCCCTTCCCATATGAGAAAAATCTATCTCCCTATTTTCTATCATCTGTCTTATACTTTGCTCTATTTATATTTTGGGTTTCTCATACCAAAGAAATCATGTGATATTTAAGCTTGTGTGTCTGATTTATTTCAGTTAACATTGTTTCAAGGTGCATCCATTTTCCTACAAATGATTCAGTTTATCCTTTATGGCAAATAGTACTCCATTGTGTGTAAATACTATCTTTTCTTTCTCCATCTGTTGTAAATATATAACTGCTTCTGAGATTTAGCTATTATGAATTGTGCTGTTATACCATGTGTAGGCATATATTACTGTGATATGTCTTTAACTGTTTGGGGGGAAGATGCCAAGAAGGGGAATAGCTGGATCAAATGGAATTTCTAATTTTAGTTTTTTGAAGAATCTCCTCACAGATTTCCATAGTGACTATGCTAATTTACATTCCCACCAACAGTATGGAAGGGTTGCTTTTTCTCCACTGCCTCGCCAGTATTTGTTAGTATTTGATTTCTTGATGATGGCTATTCTTTCTGGTATAAGATGAAATTGTCCTGTTATTTTGATCTCCTTTTTTCACATTGCCAGCACTGTTGAAAAGTTCCTTATGTATTAGTTGGTCATTTCTACTTCTGAGAAGCATCTATTAATTTCACTTGCCCATTTTTGATTGGGTCTTTTATTTTGGGTGTTCTGTTCTATGTATTAGTCCTTTGTCTAAGAATAACTGTAAAAAAGAAAGAGATCCCTTTTGGAAGTTTGGTGGACAGGAGTTGGTCATTTCTTTTGCTGTGCAGAAGTTTTAAATTTTGACATGATCCCACTTGTTGATTCTCAGCACTCCTTCCTGAGCCACCAGGATTCTGTTCAGAAAGTTCTTGTCTACACTTATAAGTTCAAGAGTTTTACCTACATTATCTTTCCACAAATTATTTATTTTAACATTTAGATCTTTGATCCATTTTCATTTTAATTTAATGAGAGATATGGGTCTAGATTCAATCTTAGGCATGTGAATAGCCAGTTTTTCCAGCACAATTTATTAAAGAGGCTATCTTTCCCCCACTGTATGTTTTTGGTACCTTTGTCAAAGATCAAATAGTTGAAATTGCTTGAAGTTATTTCTGCATCTTTTATTCTTTTCTTTTTTTTTTTTTTTTTTTTTTTTTTGGGTACCCAGGATTGAACTCGAGTCCTTGCGCTTGCAAGGCAGGCCACCGAACCACTGAGCTAAATCCCCGGCCCATGCATCTTTTATTCTTTCCATTGATCTACCTATTTTTGTGCTAGTGCCATGCTGCTTTTATCACTCTAGTTATAACTTAAGATCTGAGGTTGTGATGCTTCCCACTTGTTACCCAATATTGTTTTTGCTATTCTGAGTCTGTTTTGGCTCCATATGTTTAACTTTTTTTTTTTTTTTTTTCCCCCGTACCAGGAATCAGACTCAGGGCCTCAAGTTTGCAAGGCAGGCACTGTGCCACTGAGTTACATCCCCAGCCCTCCATATGAATTTTAGGGTTGTTTTCTCCAGTTCTGTGAAAAATGCTATTGGTATTTTGATTGGAATTTCATTAAATCTGTATATCAGTTTTGGAAGTGACCATTTTGATGCATATATTGTTTCTGCCTGTCCAGCAACAGTGGATGTCTTTCCATTTTCTGGTGATTTCTTTGATCTCCTTTTTTGTAGTTTTCATTGTAGAGATCTTTCACTTCTTTGTTTAGGTTAATTCCTAAGTATTTATGAATGTTTTTTTCCCCCTAATTTCTTTCTCAGTAAGTTCATTATTGGTGTACAGGAATGCTATGGATTTTTTTGTGTTGATTTTGTATTCTGCTACATTGCTAAATTTGGTTGTTCTAGAAGTCTTTTGGTGAAATCATTTAGGTCTTGTAAGTAGAAGATCAAGTCATCTGCAAATAATAATGATTTAACTTCTTTTCTCATACATACCCCTTTTAATTCTTTCTCACCTGACTTCTCTGGCTAATATTTTGAATTCTGTGTTGAACAGTAATGTTGACTAATAATGTATATCTTTGTCTTGTTCCTGATTTTATTTGGGGGGTTTTGTTTTGTGGGAGGTGATTTTGTGGGTTTTTTTTGTGTTGTATTTAAGACAGTCTGTGGTTCAGGCTGGCCTTGAACTTGCTGTGTTGCCCTAGGCAATTCTCCTGCCTCAGCCTCCTGAGTGCTGGGATTACGGGAACATGCCATCACACCTGGCTCATTGATTCTTTGTATTATGTTTTTAGTCTCAATTTCTTTGATTTTTTTACTTAGATCTTTATAATTTCCTTCCTTGTTGTTATGGTTTAAATCTAGATGTCCTCCCAAAGCCTAATAGGCTTGATCTAGAGTGTGTGAAGCTGGAATGGATTCATGATGCAATGCTAGGCTCAATGGCACTAGGATTGACGATGTGAGTGCTACCTACCCTAAGTAGTCTGAATATGATTAAAGGGTCAAGGAGTTGCCATCGAATTCCTCTTGTTGCCTTTGCTACTGTGAGGGTGCCATATTGTTTCTCCTCTGTGATGCCTGTTTGTCATCCCTGTCTTGGAGCCAGCCAATTTTGGACTGAAACCTCTACAAACTGTAAGCCAAATAAATCCCTTCCCCTCTAACCTTGGGTGTTAGGTATTTTGTCTCAGCAACAAGAGGAAAGCAATAAACACACTTGTACTGCTTTGGACTTGGTTTGTTCCAAAGGACTAGCTTTGGACTTGGGTTGTTCTTGATTTTCTAAGATCTTGAGATGCACTGTTAGGTTATTTATTTCGGCTCACTCTGTTTTTGTGATGTGAGCATTCATAGTCATAAACTTCCCTAAGACTGCTCTTTTGCCATACCAGTGTCCCAGAAGTTCTGGTTTAGTTCTAGAAACTGCTTTGTTTCCTTTTTTTTTTTTTTTTTTTTTTTTTTTTTTTTCAGGGTCTCACTATGTAGTTGAGAATGACCTGGAACTCACTATGTAGCCCAGGCTGGTCTTGAACTCACAATGATCCTCCTGCTGCAGCCTCCTGAGTGTTGGGATTACAGGCGTGAGCCACCACGGCCAGCTGTTTCTTCTTTGATTTCTTATGTAACCTATTGATTATTCAAGAGTATATTGGGCCGGGGATTTAGCTCAGGGGTTCGGTGGCCTGCCTTGCAAGCGCAAGGACCCAAGTTCGATCCCCAGTACCAAAAAAAAAGAGTGTATTATTTAATTTCCATTCATATGCATAATTTTTGTGGTTTCTTTTACAATTGATTTATAATTACATTGCACTAAAATCTAATGATATACATGATATTTTGATACTTTTGTATTTACTTAAGCATGCCATATTGACTAATATGTGGTCTATTTAGAGAAGGTTCTCTGTGATGCTGAGAAGATTGTATATTCTGTGGCTGGGTGGAACACTCAGTAGATTATCTAGTAAGTCCATTTGTGTGATGTTTATGTTCATCTCTGATATTTCTTTGTTGATTTTTTTTCTTAATTGATCTATTTGTGACAATAGAATATTGACATCCCTCACTGTAATCATGGTTATGTTTATCTGACCTTTTATGTCCAGTGTTACTTATTTTACGAAGTTGTATATATGTTAATAATTGTCATATCTCCTCCTTGAATTGTTCCCTTGACCAATATGTAGTGATCTTCTTTGCCTTTTCTGATCAACTTTGTCTTGAATTCCATTTATCTGAAAAAAGGATAGTTACACCTGCTTTTTTTTTAGGTTTCCATTGCATGGAATATTGTTTTCCATCTTTTTTTGTCTATTAGTTTCTTTTTGGGTTAAATGTGTTTCTTGTATACAGCATACTGTTAGGTTTTGTTTCTTGATCCATTCTACCATTCTGTGTCTTTTGATTGGGGAATTGAGACCAGGCACCTTGAGAATTATTAAGGATAGGTATTGATTTATGCCTGTCATTTCACTGTTTTCCTGTTGCTGATTCCCTTTCTTTCCCTTCTACTTAAATGCTCACTCTACTTTACTTGGTGTATTTCTTCTATTAGACCTTTTGTCATTTTTAGCTTTCTTATCTCTTTCTAGTTGAAGAAATTTTGGAGTGCTGGCTTGGTGGTCATGAATTTCTTTAGCTGCTCTTAATCATGGAAATATCTTATTTCTCCATCAGTTTTGAAAGATAATTTTGCAGGATATATCAGTCTAGGTTCAAAGTTGTTTTCTTTTAGGGCTTAAAATACAACTCCAAGCTCTCCTGGCTGTTAATAAGTGATGGATTTCTTTTCTCTAACAGCTCTTAAGATTCTGTTCTTGGGCCAGGGATTTAGCTCTGTGGTGCCACTGCCTGTCTGGCAAGTGCAGGGACCTGAGTTTGATCCCACATACCAAAAAAAAAAAAAAGATTCTATTCTTGTGTTGAACTTCTAGGACTTTCACTTTTATGTGTTGTGGAGAGGTTCTTTTCTAATTGGACTGTTTTGGATTCTATATACTTCACTTACCTGTATATTTAATTTTCCCATACTTGGAAACTTTTCTATTATTTTTTTCTTATGATCCAAATAAGATTTATTTATTGAATTCTGTTGATTTGAATAAGGAGACTTTAGTCTCAGTTTTAGCCTAGATCTGAAACTGAAAAGTATTTTAAGAGGAGGTGGTAGATGTCCTGTGTCATACAAAAGGGACATTTCAAGTGGGCTCTAAGAGTTTTAACCCCACATTCCCCCTCAGGCTCCAGAAGTTTCCTTTGGGAATAGTCACTGATGAGCTGTGCCTTTTTATTCCTACCATGAGAGAGAAGTGGAGTGTTTTACCTTTACCCCAAACTCAGGGCCGGTCTTTAAGATAACCCTCTGAGAGCATGGTATTTACTCTTGAGCCAGAAAGGACTGGTAGCTGTGTCATATTTGGCACATATCTGTAATCTCTGGGAAGCTGAGGCAGGAGGATCACAAATTTGAGCCCAGTCTGGGCAGTGCAAATGTTGTGGGTTCAATCCCTAATGCGGTAAAATTAAGTAAACATGTAGTAACGGATTCAGAAAGGCTGAAGACCTTAGATTTATTCTGAGTGTAATGAGAGACTCTGAAAATATTTGAGAAGAATGACACAAAATGTCTATTCCATTCGTCTGTATGAAATGACCTTAAGGTTACCCTTCCCCAGTGGGGCTGGGACTTCCATTCTGCCATGGGTGGGAAGCTCTGCTATTATTTTAGTAACAATATTTTTATGCCTTTCTGCCTTCTTATTTTTTCACTAATTCAGTTAATCTTAAACTAGTCTTCTTTGAGTCATCTAGCAGCTTTTGGTTTTCATGTTTTCTGGTTGTCTTTAAGGTATTTCATTAATTAATTGATCACTGACAACTACTCTGACTTCTATTTTTGACCTTCTCTTCTCACATTGGTTCCTTCTGCTCATCTTTTGACAGAGTTTTTAATATCCTGAATATCTGTTACCTTATGGACTCCAGTTATTTTCAGTGCTGGATATTCATGTTTTGTATCATTTTGTTTAGCTTAGCTACCTTGTTATTAATGTCTTCTATAGACTTCCTGATTGTTTTATTAAGCCAGTTATCTGTTTAGTTATATCTTCTTTGAGTTCACTAAACATCTCTCTCTGTCTTTTTTTTTTTTTTTTTTTTTTTTTTTTTTTTTTTTTTAGTACCAGAGATTGAACTCAGGACCTTGTACTTGTGAGGTAGGCAGCAGAACCACTAAGCTAAATCCCCGGACCCACTAAACATCTTATTGATCTATTTTTTTATTTCTTCTGTTATCCTTTCAAATAATTTGGCTGTATAGCTTTTGATTTCCTCCCCTACAATGCCCCGTGGATCAGCTTAGGGGTGTTGGGAGTAGGAGGCATTTTTTTGTACTGAGGCTTGAGATTATATAGCAGAAAGCTTGCTGGGGATTTAGCTCAGTGGTGCCTGCACCTGCCTGGCAAGTGCAAGGTCCTGAGTTCAATCCTCAATACTCGAAAAAAAAGAAAAGGGAAAAAAAAGTATCTTTCTATAGTAGAAAGCTTTGTGGCTAGTTTAGTTATTATCTACTTTTTAGAGGTATCTTTTGAGCATAGTGTAATTGTAGGCCCTTTGCCTCTGTCCCAGGATCAAGCCACCTCCACGGATCTGGTGGCAGCTGCAGCATATTTGTCCTAGCACCCAGTTCTCCAGAAATGGTCCACAGTATCACTGATGACACAAAGGCAATCCAGATATTGTCATCTAGAGAAAACTAGTTAATTATAACAACTGTGTCACCTTGGCTATAGTAATAAAATCACTGACAAAATAGCATCAAACTGGATATTGACATACCCTATGAACTAATAATGTATCACCCTTGACCTTTGAAAAGAGATTCATAATTATGGTATAAACACTAAGACAAACCAAATATTGACCTACAATAAGTATATGCTAAATGGAACAATCTTAACTTCACTAACAATAAAACAATATTAAACAGTATTAGCATAGAATTAACAAGGTACCTAAAGATTCATACAGCTTAATACTAGTAATTATTTACATGAGGTCAGGATTTAGCTCATTGATACTGTGCCTGCCTTGCAAGTGGAAGGTCCTGCATTCAATCCCTGGTACCAAAAAAAGCAAAAACAAAAAAATCCAAGTTATTATTTACTAGACTAGTAAAGATAGAATGGGTAGGGGAATAGAGAATGAAAAATATCATATTTGAAAAATTAATGGAAGATGAGAAAAGTGAAATAAGAGAGCCTATTGAGGGATAAAGGGAAATTAATAGTATTAGAAAACAGTCATAGAAGAACAAAGAAAAATAGTAAAATACAGGAAATAAAAGATAAGAAGAACTGGGCATGGTGGTGCATGCCTATAATCCCAGCACTTGGGAGGCTGAGGCTGGTGGATTGCCACAAATTTCAGGCCAGCCTGGGGTACATAGTGAGTTTAAGACCAGCCTGAACTACATAGTAAGAGACCCTGTCTCAAAAAAAAAGTTAAAAGTAAGTGAGGTGGGGAAAAAAGGAGCCGCAAAAATCCCATCTACCCCCCACTCCCCAAAAAACAATGAAGGAAAGAGAGAAGCAATAAAATAAAAATAAAAAATTTTTAAAGATTGAGTCCAAAACACAAAATTCTACTGTGTTTTTGATTGGTTTCTTTCCAGGATCTGCAGGCTTGGAATCCATCGTGTCATGGTTTTCTCTGCCTAGCTTTAGAGGCTGTGTGTGAGGTGTCTGCCCTCTTTGCACCCCTCTGTCTTTTCATCCCAGACTGTGGTAATCATCTAAGCCAAGCAAGGTGTGTCTTTGCTCACTTTGGTAGATGGAAAAAGCAACCAGCCCTCTGGTCTCTGCTGGATGTAGGCCATGGTACATGGATTTAAGCAGACTGCTGGACTTAAGGTCCACATTTGCCGGGCCTGTTGTTTCTGTCACTGGAGGGCAAAGGCCCATGTCCTACCTGGCCTAAACTTAACTTCTCGGGGGTCTGTGTCTAACCTGCACCCTTCTGCAGCGGTCTCCAGTGGTTGTCTCTCACCCAGTTACTTTAAGAAGATGATACTGTAAGCACTGAAGCTACTGGCAAGGTTTATACTTTTTACCTGAGTCTGGGCTGGCCCTTCATGCTTACCTTTTTCCTGGGCATTTGCCTCATCCAGGATTAGGTTGGTTGATTAGTTTGCACTTCTGCTGCCATATGTCAAGGGAAAGCAAAATGTAAAGCTGGCTTGAAGTTGGCAGATGGTTGTGGCCTGGTGATGGCTTGCTGTGTCATCACCTCTTCTGTTCCCAGGCGTTGGTTTTGTCCGCAATCTGGCTGGTGGTGGTTGGTTGGTTGGTTGGCACCTCTGCTACCCCTTGCAAGGGGAAACAAAATGCAGAGCCAGCTTGGAATTGGCAGGTGGTCATGGCCAGGGTGTGGAATCCACAGGCATGGAGTTGATCTCCTTTACTAAATTGTTATATAAATTTTTCTTGTTTTATTTTTAGGATCAAGTATTCTAATAGTATCAAGGAAATGGTCATTCTCTTTGCCACAACAGTGTATAGAATTGGACTGAAAGTGCCTCCTGATGAAATGGATCCTCGAGTCCCCATGCTGACCTGGAGCACATGTGCTTTCACTGTCCAGGCAATTGGTAAATCTCTAAGAAAAGTGATTTGTATGTTTCCATGAAACAGAAGTGACATTGACTGACCAATATTTTTTCTTTTTTCCCAATGACATAGAATAATTTGACTTGCTGCAAGGCCTACTAGTATTTATTTCAGTATATTAGTGTAATCTGGTTCCCATTAAGTCTGAGAATTTTTTACGTTGCTCTCTTTTAGCTACCATAGTGGCCATATGCAACATAAAAGTATTTTAGAGGGAATAAATCTGATGCTAGCAAAGGGGGTGGGGCACAGAGGGTGGAAGAGGAGGGGGACAAAAAGAATCAAGATGTGTTACATACCTGTACCAATTCCCCACAATGAATGTAATCATTATGTATTGCAAACATATTTTTAATGTCAAAAAAAGGTATTTTAAACATATAATACAAAGCATGCTATAGTCAAAAAGTGGTATATTTACCACACTAGAAGGAAGATTAAAAATAATTGGCAAACAAGCTAGGCAATGCAGGGTGGCACACTTGAGAGGCTGAGGTAGAAGGAACACTGTGAATTTGAGGCCAGCCTAGGTTACATAAAGAATTCAAGGCCAACCTAAACCATACAGCAAGACCCTATT